ATTAGAGTAGCTTTTGATTGCTTTTATGAATAATATATATTAAAGACAATATTGTCTAAATAAAAAAAATTCGATTTTACAATTTTAAATTAAATAATTTATAAAGATTTTAACTCTTTTAAAATTCATTTTCAATGTGATAATTCTAAGGAAATATTGGTATTAACTAATATATGTATATACTAATCATACAGTGCTGTTCAACAAAAGTGACTAACCTGATTTTTTTTTACTTAAAAATTTTTTCGCCTATTGTTTTGGGGGTCCAACTAACTTTTAATCTTACTTGTATTATTACAAGTTGTAGGAAATAAGTGAGTCCCTTTTTTGCACAGGGTTTTTTCCTGAATCTCATTTATATTCAAATTTATAATCATCAATAGAATACCTTAGGGTGAATAAACTTTTTTCCTAGGTGGTCGGGAAGGGGTCTTTATATTAGTAAGATTAAAAATTATTTTAACCCCAAAAACAATAGACAAAAAATATTTTTAGTAATAAAATCAGGTGAATCACTTTTATCGAACAGCACTATATATTGTAATTTTTAAAATAATTTCGATTTGTTTTTGTATGTGTAATTACGTGCGGAATTTATGAAGTATGGATGGACCGATAAATCTATCATTAAAAGGTCTCGTGTATTAAGAGTTACTACTACTACTTATAACCTTTATCGTCTTCTCCGCTATACTTCACAATGAATACGTTCGGCTGTCAATCGTCTGTAATTAAATCGATTAATACTCAAAAAAACAAGACCACGTAGTTAAGAAATGTCTGTATACACCATTTTATGCTATATGTAAGTAATATTTGTTTTAAATCAGATCAATTAAATTTTAAATTTGCTAATTTTCCTCAGCTAACGTTTCAGAAATATATATTTTATGTTTGCAAGATTTTTAGAAGCGAGAATAAATTTTTGTTTACAAATGGCTGATTTTTATCGATTTTCCTGAGAAAAAATTCAATTCCGATCAATATAATTTCTGGTTGAAATGTACAACAGAGTATTTTGCTTACTGGAAATAGTAAATTTTAAATCCTTTAGCTTTCAATTAAAGCTAAAATGAAAGCTTCAAGAAAGCTTTTACATTTTTAAAAATTCATTTTAAACTTTACGTATATCGAATTAATGGAGACACCTAATTAATGGCTAGGAAACAGGAGAAATAAGACAGTGTCAAGTTAGGTAAAAATGGAGAGTGAGTAAGGATTTCTTTCTTATGCATTGTCTTTTAAAATCCGGACGTATTATCTGAGCATGCTTCGTCTTTGTGTTTTGACGATTTCTTAAAATTTCAACAGCGATGAAGTAGAATAAACCGGAGTTATTGCGGAACCCCTCGTCAGGATATTCAGAACAACCATACCATTTTGATCCCACAAGTTTGTGAACATCACCTTGCTAACTGGGAATCAGGCAAATGCCTTTTTGGGGTGACAGTTATTGTCTTATTTCCAAATTTAATACGTCTCAAAACACAGATGTTTTTGTCAAGACTAAAAATAGATCAGTTCACGGCTCTCAGAAGAGGATCACCCCACACAGAATTTATAGATAAAAAAAAATTCAGCTAGCAATTTAGAACCAATCAAAACACAAGTTTTCAACAACCAGAAAAACTCTTCCTTCTTTAATGTACCGTGTCCCTTCAGGACGTGGGTGATCATGGCTCTCCACTTCCTCCTATCCCTTGTAGTTCTCAATATGTTTTTTTTTGCTACTTCTCCAAAACCCTGTTCTATCATCCTCTTGCTTAAGCCCACTAAGTAAGTCACCCTTTACCTTTTCTCTCTTTCACGTCATACGGCCTGTAAGTATCAGATTCTCCAAGCCCTCCTTTCTCATTACGTATCCCAAAAATTTCAGCTGCCTCTTCCTGATGTTAATATAAGCTTCCTCTTTGTTTGCATCCTTTCCACAACCTCATCGTTGCTCACATGTTCGGTCCATGGAATCCTTAGCATCCTTCTGTAGAACCATACCTCCGTTGCCTCGAGTCTCTTCTTCATCTTTGAGGAGACCGTTCAAAATTCGCTGCCGTAAAGCTGGACAGATATCCCTTGGCAGTTCAGTACTGAAAAATGCTTTTGGGAGACTATTTGATGATGATGATGATGATGATGATGATGATGAATTCGTTTTTTTACGGCTTATCAACCCGTTGTAGGTTATTTTAAGCCAGAAAATATTTTTAGAATTTGAATTTTTTTTTAGATAATAATGGTTTAGTGATACAAGTTTTACTAATTAACCCGTAGCTGGAGGGGGGAGAAGGGGTGGATTCATAACTTCCCTAAGAGTATTTGCGCATAGGTGAATATAACAAAATCAACGAGAATAGGAATTCGGCTCTCTGATTAACGATTCCGAGCCATTATCAATTACACCACCCGTTGTTTAAATTGGTATTCCAACATGATCAAAGGCAACGTTGTTTAAATTTGATCAAATTTGAAACAGTACATAGAAGTTTGGTTTGGTTTTTGTTTT